TGCTGAGAGATATTAAAGACCAATGGTTGGTTTTTCCTGTTATTTTTGTCGTTGTTGTTGTTGCTAGAGTTAGTATTGTGTGTGTATGAATCTCTTCATTTGGGTTTGTTGTGAACTTTGTAGTGTTTTGTGTTTTCTTAGAAATAGCTATCCTCCTTGTTTTAGAGATTCCATTCCAGTATTCCAGGGCTGGATTAGTAGAAAGATGTTTAAATTTGGTTTTGTCATGGAATGTCTTGGTTTATCCCTCTATGATAATTGAGGGTTTAGCTGGTTATAGCATCCTGAGATGCCATTTGTGTTCTCTTAGGGTATTGATAACATCTTTCCAGGTTTTTCTGGCTTTTAGAGTCTCTGTTGAGTAGTATGGTGTACTTCTCATAGCTTTGCCTTTATATGTTACTTGGCCTTTTCCCCTTAAAGCTTTTATTATCCTTTGTTTATTCTGTTATTTAGTCTTTTGATTATTATGTGATGAGAGGTTTATTTCTGGTCCAATTTATTTGGTGTTAAATAGGCTTCTTGTACATTTATGGTTACTCTTTCTTTAGGTTAGTGAAATTTTCTTCTATGATTTTGTTGAAGATGTTTTCTGGGATTCTTCAAACTCTTATATTCCTATTATTGATTCTTAGGTTTGATCTTTTCATTAAGTTCAGAATTTCCTGTATATTTTGTGTTAGGAGCTTTTTACACTTTGTATTTTCTTTGCCAGATTTGTCAATATTTTCTATGGTATCTTCTATGCCCGAGATTCTCTCTTTTATCTCTTATATTCTGTTGGTGATGCTTGAATCTTCTAATCTCTTCTCTAAGTTGTCTATCTCCAGGGTTGCCTCCATATCTATTTTCTTTATTGTTTCTATTTCCATTTTTAGTTAGACCACTTTCTTCAATTCCTTCACATGCTTGATTGCATTTTCCTGTATTTCTTTAAGTGATTTATTTGTTTTACCTGTTTGTCTGTGTTTTCCTGTATTTCTTCAAAGAAGTTCTTTATATTCTTTTTAAAGACCTCTATCATCTTAATGAGATGAGATTTTTTTTTTAGGTCACCGTCAGAAGCCATAATAGGACAAGCTAATAATTAGCAGTTGATCATCCTGAAATGCTTGCCTCGGATTATTATCTGCGACAAGTGTGCCACATTCAGCAAGGCTATGTTGGACATATTTTAGGAAAGATCCTGCTATTAATATGCTTTTCCTATTATTATTAAACATATATAACAATCACTAAGCAATAGCACTCCCCTTTGGAGCAGATCTCTGCAGACCTACGAAGATGTACTGCCTTGTAGCGTTGCTATATAGACAAATAGATGATTTCTTAAGTCTTAATGATGATCCTATAAGAATTCCTAAAATTATATCAATGATTATTAAGCTATTTTATAGTGGGACTGCTATTAAGTCCCTTTCTGATAGTCAAAACTGCTATAAGAACTCTGTCAGTCTCCGAAGTGTCATCAGTTAACAGCACTTAGAAAATAACCAGATTCTCTCCTGTTCAGAGCACATTCCAAGGTGGCTGTAAAACAATTAACCAAGGGTCACTAAAGGGAACTCACGATTTATTATAGGTGCTAGGACAGAAGAAAAAATATTGCTTGGGTTTATCTATATAAAACTTCACTAATTTCTTAGTTATAGTTTTAAACCTTCGGTGAACCTGTGGAGCTAGACAGGTGATGGATGTTTAGTCAGATAATTACTCCTAATAAATATGCATGTAAACATTCTCGATTGTAAACTTCTATTTCAATTTATGATTTGAATTTCGGTGTGAACTTGTGGTGAACTTTGAAACATGTGATCAGGTACTCTGAATGATGTATAAGACAAAGGGACGTTCATTAGTGACTCACTTTCTCTTCCTCACTTCACTTCTCTTCACTTCTCTTCACCTCACTTCTCTTCTCTTCTCTTCTCTTCTCTCTCTCTCTCTCTCTCTCTCTCTCTCTCCTTCCTTCTTCCCTGCTTAGAATCTCTCTACTTAGAATTTTTCCTCTGTTAGAATTTTTTTCCTTTTTCCACTTAGGACCTTCCCATTTTCCCCCTTAGATAGGAAACTTTTTACACTTAGCAATAAACTACAATAACTTCTTTAAGTGTCTTTTCTTCCTGGGACCTCAAACCAACAGACCTAAGTTAGAGCCTGGCAGTGCCTGCAGAGACAGATCAAAGGCATTGCTTAATCCTCTGCTGTCCCTCGGCTGAGGTGTTAGTGGCCAGAAACTGCATCTGGCCTCAGAGGATCAAACAGTTAGCAGGTCAGCTACAGTAGCCTAGAAAGTAAACTTTAGTAGTGTAGATAAGAAAGATTTCATTAAACAGCAACCCTAAATATCTCGTAAGATATTACCCCGAATCTCCGAATCTCGTAAGACCAAGTCTTACCCCTCGCTGACGCTCTTCCAATTCCCATCCCCCTTGGCTGCCTCAAGAAGAACCAACCAACAGGAGGAGAAGAAAGATCACCTTCTCCCCCCACCAAGCCAGGTACAGCTCCTGGCAGGTCACTATATTGCTTTTCATGCATGTTACAGTAGCCAGGGCTTGCTTCTTGACATCTGGATCTTTCTAGTGTTAACAGGCTTGAGTGTTTCTGACTAGAATCAGTCTCCTTGGAGGTAGATGGAGCTCTGTAACCTGAGTTAGAGCTGGTCTTCTTGGAGGCAAACAGTGTTGCTTTTGATTAAGGTAGGCCTCCTGTGTCTTTGGTTAGAGGAGGACCCTGTGCCCCTGGTTACTGTGAAGCTCCTGGCAGCTCACAGACTTTAGTGTTTGAGCAGCTATTAGGCCACTGGTCTGGCCCAGGTGGGGAAGTGAACTGGAAGAAAAGTAGAGTTTGTGAGGCAGGAGAGAGGGTAGTTCCTGCATCAGCTGGGCTGTGTAGGTATCCCAACTGGCAGGGCATTTGGGAGGGAGTCTCACCTGTGGAGCTCCTGGGAAGCATGCAGACTGTAGGGTCTGGGTCGATTGCATAAATATTTAAATGCATATGTGGACAGTTCTTGGAAACATGTTCACAATTTCAACTTATTTAATAACCACTGACTAAAACATAAAGGTGGTTATTATCATTAGCTTGAAATACAGAGAATGACATCATGAAGGAAAGGCAGAGTTAATGGACCCAATAAAGCTTAATTCAAAGGGGTCTTTTATGAGTAAAACATAATCATATTTCCTTCCAGAAAAATAGTAGTTCACAAGAGATATTTGTCTACCTTTGGATTACATTAATTTGACTTTTTTTTTACAATATTATATAGAGCGATATATTTAATACCTGTGTATATATGCATCACAGGGGCGACATATATACACACTAAAACAAGGCTGGTGACAACAGACTGCAACACCACAGGTCAGGAGAACAAGTGTCATCGACATTCACGGCCATGGCCCCACCTCAGATGTGGTCTCGCCTCCCCTCCAGCCGCACCACCAGCACCCAAACTCTGCAGTGCTAGCCAGCTGGGGTCAGGGAAGGGGATCAGGGGAGAGGAAAAGGTGCATGCCATGGTTATCAGGAGAAAGTTGGGCAGTGGCAGGATAAGGAATGGGTCCTTTACACCCAGGTGCCTATCATTGTGCCTGCAAGCACTAGCAACCCTAGCTGGGGGAAAAACAGGAGCGTCTGTTCATTCTATCTCACTCTTTGATAGCCTTTGTTTCTGGTTCCTTCTGGGGGGGTGCCCCACTTCTTGTGCCAATGGGGTGGAGCATTCTGGAATGTCTTGGGGAGCCAGGGGAGGCTGTGTCTGTGGGAGTGGGATGATAAGGTGTACACATACTTCAGACAATAAAAGAGGCCTTGGTAAGTGGAGGCATGAGCTGGAGGTCAGCTGGGGTCCTAGGCAGCCAGCAGGGTTGAGCATAGGGTGGGGCTGGGATAGATGGTCATATCAGTATATCTGGGTCTTTTGGAGAGGACTACAGAGGGTCCCCAGGAAAGAGAGGCTATTTCCCACAGTGACCTATGGAGCCTAGGTCGCTTTCCCACTCTTCATATTCCTCAGCACCTCCCATGCTTTGTACCTTGTCAGACCTGAGATCATGGTGCTCTGTATTCTGTTACTTGTCTGTGAAAACTTTTGGGGGTTATAGCCTCCATCGTTTACCCCAACATCCCTCAATGTGTGGTGCTAAGAAGACCAGCTCTTGTTTCAGCAGCCCTTCCCCAGGTCCCAGGAATGTTACATGGGACTGAGGAGCACAGAGTCTCCAGCTGCTAATGGATGGGGTCTTTTGACCAGTGTTTACATCCCAGTTCTTCACCAGAGAGGGCTAAAGACCCTGGGCAAACCACTCCTCCTGCCAGGCCTCAGTTTTTGTTTCTGTAAAATGGGGTGTGGGTTGTGTTGACTCCAAGGCTGAGGTATGGTCTACAATTGTGGCTCACAAAGGCGAGGGCTGGATAGGAGATGGTGTTAGGAGCACCTAGACTGCTTGGTCTAGCTTCAGGTATCTGCCTTAGCTCTTGTCCCTTTCGCAGGTCAGGAAACTGAGCCCCCAAGTGGTAAGTGACCAGTATAGTGTTCCCAACTCCATTTCATGACTATACTTTAAGCTAGTCAGGGCCTCCTGCCCTTTGCTGTGTCCTGCACTGGACTCATGGAAAGGGAGAAGAGGAAGGTTGAGAAGGAAAAGGACCCTCCTGCTGCATATTCAAGTGGGGACCCCAGGGTCCCCAGCCCTGAGCTTTGGACCCATTTAGGAGCAGACAGAATTTAAAGCTGTAGGCTGAAGCTGGCCAGGCCTCTCCCTCTCCAACCAGGAGAACTAGAACTGGGGAGAGTCTGTTCCCATTTTGACAGGACAAGGATCCTGGGACCACTTAGGGTTGCAGTAGATGACCTAGGTGTACACACCTGGGGTTTAGGGGTGGAAAGGATGGACAGAGACCCAGTGGACTGGGGGCTGCCTGATGGAGTAGTCCCCTGCCCCCAATCCACCCCCACCCCAGGACTTTGCCATAGCTGAGACCTGGCCCTACTCCCCAGTGGTGGTGGTGGCAGCAGTAGCAGTTGCAGCAATGGGGGCTTCTGGGGTGTTGTCCCCATCCTCTTGCAGCAGGAAGTTGTATTTGCCGAAGTCATCATCCCGTGGACACAGAAGCATGTCCTTTCGGGCCTTGGCAAGCTTTTGCTTCAGCACCTCACGCCGGTCCAGCCACTCGTTGAGTTCCTTTTGTCCATGGGCACAGCGGCACTTGTCTCCATCTGGGCAGGCCTTGCCCTTCTGGAGCCTGTCACAGAGTCGGAACTCGCCCATAGGGAAACGGTAGGCCCAGCCACTGGCGTCACTATCGGAAGTGAAGACTTTCTCCTTTTGCTTCTCTGACTGGATGTGCTGTTGCCACTGCTTCTTGCTGTTGCTGTTCTTGCCACAGAGCCAGCAGTGGTAGCCCATCATGATGTCAGCATACTCTGTGGGCATCTGGATCTGCTTCTCTCCTTCCAGGGAGCTGATGGAAGTCCCTTCACCCGGCTTCCCTGGGTTGTGTTTTTTCAGCCACATGTCATAGGTCTGTTGCATATCAAGGATCTTGTTCTCCTTCATGAAGGTCCACATGTCTGTCTTCTCAGGGCTGTGTGCGAAGGAGCAGTTCCCCACATACTATCATTTGCGGCCATTCTGGGCATGGATGCAGAGATCATACTACTGTGGGAAGTTTCGAATGGATGGCAGTGGTCTCACAGACACCCATTTCCTCTTGGTCTTGGACATCACCAGAAGGACTCGCCTCTCCTTGGTCCAGCAATGCCGGGCCTTGGCATTGCAGTACGTGAGGTCCTTGTCTGGCTCTACCACCTGCCCGTTCCTCCAACACTGACCACACACAAACTTTATCTTCAAGTCAAAGGTGCTGGTTCCATGTGTCCTTGGGGTACCCAAGCCACTGCTGGCCTTCCCTGCGTGGGCTTCCATCTGCTGCCAGTATTTCTTAGATTCCTGAATGATGTCTTCGTGGGTCATTCCTGAGTACTGCTGGAGCAACCAGACCTTGAGTTCAATGAAACTATGGGCAAAGTGGCAGCTGTCCTCACGCAGGCAGCCATAGCGCACCTCGTGGCGGCACACGTCAAACTGGAAGTGCTCCTAGAACTGACAGATCTTGGAGTACTTGAGAGAGGTAGAACGGACGATGTGCACCAGGCACTTGTTGTTGTAAAAGCTGTGCTTGGCAGCCAGGTTGGAGCAGACAGATGGAGAGTCCTTGGTGCCTTTGCTGATGATCCGGGGCTTACTGTCGATGCAGATCTTGCAGAGGAAGATGAAGATGCCCTGGTGCTCCTTGAGGAGCTTGGCAATGGTGAGGCTGCCACGCTTGACACCCCCTAGAGGGTCAAAGAGCAGGTCCCGGTTGAGGGTGCCCTTCCGCTCCTCTGTCCACACATCGATCTCCTCCTGATGGTAGGCGAAGGTGCAGTTATCTCTGTACTTATAGTCTTGCTTGTTAATCATGTCTTTGCACAGGTAGTAGGAGCCCACAAAACTGGTTTTGGTGGGCCGGGGCCGGATGCGCTTCCAGATCTGGTTCTCCGAGCTCCGGAGCCGGCCGAGCAGGACATCCCTTCTGCACCTGTGCTCCAGGCCCTCACAGTAGGTATAGTCGCCAGCCCTGGGGCCTGTTTTGGGGTAGCACAGCTGGAAGGCCTGCTTGAACTCTCGGGTGGCAGCCAGAGGGTTCTTGATGAGCAGGGCGGTGTTGGGCATTTAGGGCTCCGGCGAGGGGGCTGGCTTCTGAATACTGCTCGGGGGTCGGGGGTCCTGTGAGCTGATCTCTTCTAGGAAGGAGTCTGGCTTGTCCAGGGAGCCTCGGGCTGACCCAAAGCTGTCAAGGGCATCCAGCCGAGCCTCAGAGTATGGTAACAGATCCAGGGGGTCCAGTGTGGGCCCTGGAGAGTCAAGGGCATCCAGCACAGAAGCAGCCAGCTTCCTGAAGGGGTCCATGACAAGGCCAAAGGAGACAGGAGGCAGTGGGCTGGACACGGGGATGGAGCCACCCACCACAGGTGGCAAGAGTGGGGTCCCAACAGGAAACACGGGGATCAGCTGAGGCAGCTCACTAGGCATACCACTGCCAGGCAGGCCACCCTGGACCAGAGACAGAGAGTCCAGGAGGGTGTCCAGCTCTGGACCAAACACATCCCCATCTGAGAAGTCATCCAGGCCCTCAGTGCTGGGGAGTGTCCTGCTGCTGCAGTCCAGGGGGGCCAGTAGGTCCAGAACATGAGGGAACAGGGGCATCGTGGGAGTGGAGGGGAGCAGGGCTGGAGAGCCTCGGAGATCCACGTAGCAGGCTGTTTTGATGTCATCTATAGATCCCAATCCGTTAGAAGTTCCCTGATCTGTTAAGCCAGCCGGGGCGCCATTACTAAGCAGAGAAAACGTTTCCAATTCCTGGGGTCTCTTATAGGCCTTCCGCACCCGCAGTCCAAGCTTCTGAGCCAGCTCCTGACCCAGCTGAGTGACATTTTCATCATGGGGAAGAGCAAGGGAGCACCGGCTGCTGCATTCATAGACCTCTTTGTGGCGGCCCAGCTTGTTGAGGGTGCGCGCCTTTCGGAACAATGCCCGGATACTCTCGCCATCCAGGCCCAAGGCCTTCTTACTGTCCTCCAGTGCTTTCTCATACAGGCCCATGGTAAAGTAGCAGGCTGCCCTGTTGACATGTAACTTGCACAGCAGCTCCCGGGGTAAAGCCACCTGGTCAGAGGCGGCGTAGTCAGCCCTTCCATGTTCTGCTCCAGAGCCTGCTTGTAGTCCTTCTCCTGGAACAGGTCGTTGCCCTCAGCAAACAGGTTCTGCACAAGCTTGAGCAGGAAAGCCTCATACTCTTCTTGCTTTAGGGGTAGTGTTGACTGAATAAACTGCAGCCCCTTCTCGATGTCCGACTTCCGTTTCTGCCTCTCCATCAGTGTCTCGGCCTGGCTGCGATCCCCGCGGGCCTGCGCCAAGCCCGATAAATGGTATGCTATGACTAGAAGTATGATTATGTTATTATTAGTAGTAATAATAAGAGTAAATGCTATTTAATGCCGCCCGGGCAGCTGGGTCCATGTGGCGCTACTTTACTTTCATTTCCAGCCCCCTCGCCGGCCGCTCGCGGCAGCACCCCTTAATTTGACTTTTAAGAGATATATCAGAACGAGGAATATAAAGAAAACTCTAATGTTGGATTTTAGTATTCTGGACAGGAGGTAATAGATCAAAGAGTAGAAAGAACCTGTTAAACACCAAGCAGCTGAAAAACCAGACTGATTTACAGAGTGGTTGTACCAGCTTGCAGTCCCACCAGCAATGGAGGAGTCTCCCTCTTTCTTCACAAAATCACCAGCACCTGCTGTCACCTGATTTTTTTTGGATATTTTATTTATTTACATTATAAATGTTGTTCACATCCCCAGTTTCCCTTCCACAACCCCCTTATCCCAACTCCTGTCCCCCTGCTTCTATGAGGGTGCTGCCCTACCCACCCACCCACTCCTGCCTCCCCTCCTTAGTATTCTCATATACTGGGGCATCAAGCCTCCACAGGACCAAGGACTTCCCCTCCCATTGATGCCAGATAAGGTCATCCTCTGCTAAATATGCAGCTGGAGGCATGAGTCTCTCCATGTGGTTTAGTCCCTTGGAGCATGGGATGGTCAGGCCAGTTGATGATGTTCATTCTATGCGGCTGCAATCCCCCTCAGTTCCTCCATTCCTTCCCCTAACTCCTCCATTGGGGTCCCCATGCTTAGTCTGGTGGTTAGCTTTGAGCATCCACCTCTGTATTGGTCAGGCTCTGGAAGAGCCTCTCAGGAGACAGCTATATCAGGCTTCTGTCAGCAAGCATGTCTTGACTTCAGCAATAGTGACTGGATTAGGCAGCTGCATATGGGATGGATCCTGAGGTGGACCAATCTCTGGATGGCCTTTCCTTCAGTCTCTGCTCCATTCTTTGTCTCTGTATTGTTGTTAGACAGGTGCAATTCTGAGTTAAAATTTTGGTGATGGGTGGATGGTCCTATCCCTCAAGAGAGGGTCTTATCTAACCTCTGGATATGGTCTCTACATGTTCTCCCTCCCCTTTGTATTTGAGCTAATATAATTCCCATTGGGTCCTAGGAACTTCTTGCTTTCTTGGGATCTGAGACTTCCTGGTGGCTACTCCCAGTTCCCCATCCCCCATTGCTACACACCTCTATTTAATTTCTTGACCCTCTGTACATCACCCCTGTCTCCTCTCATACCTGATCTTATCCCTCTTTCCCCCTCTCTTTCTCTCTTCCTCCCAAGTCCCTCCCACCCTCTACCTCCCATGATTATTCTGTTCCCCCTTCTAAGTAGGACTGAAGCATCCACACTTTGGTATTCTTTCTTTCTTAGCTTCATATAGTCTTTGAGTTGTATCATTGGTTTTCCGAGCTTTTTTCCTAAAATCCACTTAACTATGTGTGTTCTTTTGTGATTGGGTTTCCTCACTCAGGATCGTACTTTCTAGTTCCATCCATTTGTTTAAGAATTTCATGAAGTCATTGTTTTTAGTAGCTGAGTAGTACTCCACTGTGTAAAATACCACATTTTCTGTATCCATCCCTCCGTTGAAAGACATCTGGGTTCTCTAGAGCTTCTGGCTATTATAAATAAGGCTGGTATGAACATAGTCAATCATATGTCCTTGTTATATGATGGAGCGTCTTTTGGGCATATATAGAGCTGGGTCCTCCAGTACTACTAGGTCCAATTTTCTGAAGAACCACGAGACTGATTTCCAGAGTGGTTGTACCAGCTTGCAATCCCACCAACAATGGAGAAGTGTTCCTCTTTCTCCATATCCTTGCCAGCATCTGCTGTCACCTGAGTTTTTGATCTTAGCCATTCTGTCTGGTGTGAGGAGGAATCTCAGGGTCTTTTAATTTACATTTCTGTGATTACTAAGAACTTTGAACATTTCCTTAGGTGCTTTTCCACCCCTCAATATTCCTCATTGTGAATTCTTTGTTTAGTTCTGTACCTCATTTTTAATTGAGTTATTTGGTTGTCTAGAATCTAACTTCTTGAGTTCTTTATGTATATTGTATATTAGCTCTCAATCAGATATAGGCGTGGTAAAGATCTTTTCCTAATCTGTGTGTTGCCTATTGACAGTACCCTTTGCCTTACAGAAGCTTTTCAATTTTATGAGGTCCCATTTTGTTAATTGTTAATCTTAGAGCATAAGCCATTGGTGTTCTCTTCCATTTCTGGTGGGATTGCAAGCTAGTACAACTACTCTACAAATTAGTCTTGTGGTTCATTAGAAAATTGGAAATAATTCCACCTGAAGACCCACCTGTACCACTACTGGGCATATACCCAAAAGATGCTTCAACATATAACAAGAATATGTGCGTCACTATGTTCATAGCAGCCTTATTTATAATATCCAGAAGCTGGAAAGAACCCAGATATCCCTCAACAGAGGAATACATACAGAAAATGTGGTAAATTTACACAATGGAGTATTACTCAGCTGTTAAAAACAATGATCTCATGAAATTCTTAGGCAAATGGGTAGAACTAGGAAATATCATACCAAGTGAGGCAACTCAGACACAAAAGAACACATGGCATGCACTCACTGCTGAGTAGATATTATCCCCAAAGCTTACAATGCTCATGATACAACCCATAAACCATATGTAGCTTAGGAGGAAGACAAGCGTATGGATACTTCAGTCCTGCATTGAGGGGATAGAAGGATTATTGCAGGAGATGGAGGGAGGGGGGATCTGAGATGGAGAGAAGAGAGAGAGGAAATAAGGGGATTAAGGGAGCAATATCAGGTACTGAAAAAGACAGGAAAGAGTTATAGTAGGTCAGGAAATTGAATAAAAATATGTAGCAGGGGTGGTGGCTGTGGTGGTGAGGAAATAGTGATAACCAATGGAGGGTTCCAAAAGCCAGGGAAATGAGAGGCTCTCCGGAGACAACGGGGATGATTTTAGCAGAGAAGGGGAGATAGAACCTGTAGAGACCACTTCTAGTAGATAGGCACGGCCCCTAGTCGAAGGATGGGGCCATAACCTATCTCAAAGTTTTTAACCCAGAAATTTTCCAGTCTAAAGGAAGAACAGGGACAGAAAATGGAGCAGAAACTGAAGGAAGAGTCATTCAGGGACTGTCTCACCTAGGGATCCATCCTGTCTGCAGACACCAAAGCTGGACTCTGTTACAATTGCCTACAGGTACTTGCTGATAGGAACCTGGTGTGATTGATGGTTCAACCAGTAAATGGCCAGTGCAGATGTGGATGTTTGGAGCCAATTATCAGAATGAGCTCAGGGACCCTGATGGGAAAGCTGGCAGAGGACTGGAGAAGCTGAGGGGATTGCAACCCCAAAGGAAGAATGACATCAGCTGACATGATTATCCAGGGTTTCCAGGGACTAGACCTCCAACCAGGAATTGTGCAGGGAGGGATCCATGGCTCCAGATACATAGGTAGCAGATGATGGCTTTGTCTGGCATGAATCGGAGGGAAGGCCCTTGGTCCTGTGGGGGTTTGGTGCTCCAGTGTAGGGTTATGCAGTAAGACTGAAGTGGGAGAGGGAGGTTGTTGGATTGGGGGTTGTGGAGGGGTAACCAGGATATTGAATATCATTTAAGATGTAAACAAATGGGACAATTAATAAAAAACAAAACCAAAATCAAGCAGCTAATTAAACTTAAGTCTCACAGTTTCTCACTATAAAACAGATTGTGGATATCTGGCACTAAATTGCACTCCTTGATTTATAAGATCTGAAAATCCTGATTTTTAAATCTCCAGAGCTAATTCGTAATGGCTTTCACAATGTTTTCCATGTAATTTTAAAATGTTAATCAGTTAGAAAAATTCTTCCGTGATTATTAGATAAGTGTATTTTTTGCCAATGAGAAATTGATTGATAGTCCTAATCTAAAACTCACCTGTAAGGCCACAGAGCACAGAATCCACCCCTGAAGTCATACGCTTCCCAGCAACATGTCCTTGGTCCCTCTGTAAGCTGTCAAAGCAGACAATTGCCTGGATAGATGATGGATGGCATGTTTTAGATTTTTACTTACCCTCAGCGGTCTTTGGAATGATATATAAAATGTCTATTTTTCAGTTAGTGTCGGAGTCATTGCTTGCTTGCTTGCTTATATAAGGAATGGCAGGCCTCACTTGAGCATTATTATTGTGCAGAGATCCCACTTACCTGGCCTTCTAAGTCTTAGCACTAGAATGAGAAAGGAAAATTTTTACCAGAGACATATTTCTTGCCCATTGATAGTATCCAAAGAGGTAGCCAACTATGCCAGCCTCCATAAGACAATAAGCCAAACCACACAGATCTGTTCAGCTTCACTTTAATATTGCCAATTTCAGGGTAGGAAAAGAGGACAGGTCTTTTTCTTTCATGCTGTAAGAACTTTTTTCCTAATTATTTTTCTTACCTTGTCTTTAAATATCTCTAATGAGGTAGCTTTATACTACAGATTCTGAATTTCTTAGCACAGATTTCAAGGCTCTTGCTGATAGACTATTTGTCATCCCCTCTAGATTCTTTCTGAAAAAAAGACTCTAGCTGAATGGCTTGCTCAGTTGTACATGCTTTCCTTTTCTACCTTTAAGACACTTGACCCCTTCACCTCTAAGCCGATGCATGTGCTGTTTTATCTACTTGAACACCAGTTCTGTTGTCTCTGCTTTCATCTCAGTTCTCATCTTATATTAACTGCCATCTCCATCAGGATCTCTTCTGTGACTCCAATATAGCATGTCAGGAGCTCTTCTGTTATTCTTCCCACAAGATTGCTTAATACACTAATGGGAATGGATTCTTTCATCATCTATCTTTCCTCTGAAACTTTCAGTTTCAAGGGGGCAGAAAATATGCAAATCTTTCTGATGTGGTATCTCTCTAATG